TACATGTTCCTTCTATGACTACTGTCATGAAAACTGATATGTTAATATACTTTATTTTGTAAGATCAAACCAATTTATTTAATGGAAACAGTCTATATTTGAACAGTAATTTGTTAAGGGCTTTTGTAGTAAAATGATCCTCCATGACGTTTAAGAAAACTTGATGAAGCTTTATCCAGAGCCCTTACACTAAGTTTAGGTTGGAACCTAGCTATTGTTTACACATCCTGTTATGGCTGCCTTCATACCCCATGAATTAATGGTAAAGAAACAAATGGATGTAGGCAAAACAATACTTATGCATAAAATACACAGAATAATGTGCTAAATGTGCCAGAATTAACTTTTATGTGATTTTTTGGTACTGATGATAATATATTTTTCACCTTCCATGTTCTGGAAGCATCACAGAATCAGAGAAATTCACTAACTATTCGCATATTTTGTGCATAAAATGAAATTCCTTGATGTTTCTCAGGCTGGGAACAAAAAATACCAAATTCACTGACTTTTCCCAGTCTCCCTGACCAATGGGAAACATATACACTTGAAATATACACACACACACACACACAGAAAACAAACAATTAAAAATTTATAATGGTTATTAAGTATGATACAGATTACAGGAATTTTAACTGATGTTTCAAAGAATAAAATAAAATGAAAATCTGTTATTACTTTCTTCATCCATATGACAATTTTTCATTATGCAATGGTTTGGTTTAACCCGATGACTACCGGCTACTAACTTTTTTAGTAGGCAATGCAAGTCTTGCTATATTTCATTCCAACAATAAAACTAGTGGACGAATATCTTTGAAAGTTCATAAGTACTTTGACAAATGTAGGTAGTTTAAGAAACATGAAGCCTATTACTTTTAATAAATTTAATTTTTTTGCATTATGATCTTTAATATATTGGAAAATTACATTAGGAAATGGTATTTATAAGAAATGATTACAATATTTATATTTGCTACAGATTTGAACTTATTACTTTTAATGTTTTAGTACATTATTTTGAAATCCCAAAAAAATTGTATCCTCCATAGATTACAAATTTTATCTTTTTTTTTTTTTAATAATCACATATACTTCTTATGGTTTCAAGT